CTGTTAGATGGCTAACAAATTCACATTTGTACTTCATTTAGTTAATGTTTTTTTAATGTTCTAGAACATACCGAACTAGGCAATAGATGACAGTACACAGCTCCAGCACTCCTGGAATCTAAAGCAGATCTTTGGACTTGGTGATGCTTAGGCGATTGAAGACATTCTGCTCCTTTTTATTCTCGCCTGGAACCGTTTCCACTAATGTTGTCAGGTATCAGTTAATTGTTTTCTTCTTCCTATAAATGGTTGTCTGTGAAGGTTCCTAGTTCTCACACATGCAAATGATTGCTTTGACCAGCAAGTCATACCAGCATTCTGCTGAACTGTACTTCTCCCCAAGGAGGTAAAAAAGTTTGCCAAAGCACAGAAGAACTTTTTACTACTACTACTACTACTATTATTATTATAATCATCATTATTATTTTACTATTATCACTATCATCATCCTCATCATCACTACTAAGCATTCATGGCTGCAAGTCTTTCATTTAGCCCCCTGCAGTTCTGATGGCTGCCAGCTGAGGGTCTGTGTGGCACTCTGAGTTTCTAGTCCACTTCCACAGTCCAGCATTCACTTCACCTTTTGAGTCATCTGTCCTTCCACTAAGAGGCAGTATTGGCCTATCTTTCCTAAGTCACAGATCCTACAGAAATTAAAAGAAACATGAAAACCAGATGTAGCAATTGATCCTAGGTTTCATTTCATCCAACTCCTGGGGTTTTAGACAGTGGCTAATATTTGTCATATTGATGAATACAGAGAGTTCCAATGATAAAATTTTGACCATGAGATGGATTAAAAGACGCTTACTGGACAGGGTTCACTGCTGCACATGATGATTGTCACAGTGTGCTTTTTCACACTTGCCAGAGAGATAATTTTAATCAAGTTGTTGCAGCTGCACGGACATAGGCTGCATTCAGAAGATACATGTCCAGGCTTCATGGTCATGGTAGAAATCTACAGTAATGATGACTTATAAACTACAAAAAATGTATGCTTTGGGTTCTAGAACAGCTCTTCATGCCAAAATCAAATGTTCAGGTGTGAAAAACCTATTGCCAATGATATTTTTAGAGAATTGCAGAAATGTTCTGGTTATTTCATGGGTAGCCAGTAAGCTAATAACAAAGAGAATTTTAATTTTTTTCCCTGGTATTACAGTGCCATAACAAGACATTTTCTGCACTTTGGTTAGTAAGTCAGTTTTTTTTTTTTTTTTTTTTTGAGCCTTTTTTTTCCTGTGAGTCAGAATGATAAGGACTGTGAAAGAAACTGTTTATTGCTTTTTAGCAACTACTCAGCATCGAGACTGGTAGACTTGGCTCATATTAGTACTGCTAGGTATAAAAGATGGATAACCTGGCTGTTATTCATGACATTGTGTGGTGTAGAGAAGTAATCCATCTGGTGCAAGTACCAGAATAATCTGATCACATGGTAGGATTGTCATTGATGCAAAACCTCTTCCTTCACTCAAGCTGAGGATTATCTTTAGCAATGAGATATTGCTAAAAAAAGGTGCATTTCACCTCTTGTTGGAAAAAATGAAAGAGCATCTGGCCTGAATTTAGGCTGACTGGTAGGTACAAAGTCATTGATACAGTTCAGTGATGTATAGACAAAATTAAGTGGTCTCCTGACACTAGGAATGCCTGAAGTCCACAGTGCCTGTAGAAAAAGTGCATGTTTATGAAGCTGTCTGTCAGCATTTGGACTGTGGGAACGACTGTTTCCAACAGCAGGCAGATGGCTCTGGTCCCTTGCAGAGAGCACATGCCCTGAGTTCTCAGACATTCTTCTATGAGCTCTCCACCTTTGAGTGGAAGCATCTGTCATCACAGACTTGTTTGGCTGAGATATGATGGGTTTGCTTTTGCAGTTCTGAAGCAGGTCTTTCTACCAGTTTGATGAAAAGATTTAAGAACAACTGCTGTGCATCAGAGATGGCTGCCTGATAGAAATTGTGCATATAGCATAGATAAACTCTGTCAAAGAACATCAAATAAGAAGGCACCTTCCTTCTTAAGCTGGATGAGAAAGCTCAGTATAGAAAGTCATTCTTGTGCAAGCATTCTTATATAGCTACTGTGAACTTAACACTTTCAGTTGAAGTAACTGGGGAAGGTTTTTGGGTTTGCTTTTTTTTATGGTTGGTTTTGGTTTTTTGGGGGGGGCATATTTTTTTTTTGTTTTTTTTTTTTTTTTTGTTGGTTTGGTTTGGTTTGTTTTATAGGCTTTAATGGTTTGGTCCAGCTGGTCAGTTTAGCTGCTAAGAATGTAATATCCTTCTGTGTCATAGCAAGATGGTGTTTAAAGGCATTTTGGGAACTGTTAAACTAAATAAAAGACAATCTGAAAGTTTCGGAAAAAATGGAAGATAAAATTGACCTCAGTGCTGGGAAATCAGGGCCATACAAAGATAAATTCTTTTTTACCTGTTTCAAGATCTCCTTAATGACTATGGCTAGAGGAGAAATTGTGGGGTTACATAGGTGGGTGTTTTGATACAGGGGCGAAAGACAGGATGAAAGCTATTCCAGGGTGTCAGTATAGTACTAACAGACACAATGTTCCTCTAAGTACTGTAGTAGTGTAACTAAGTAGTTGTGTCCTTTGTTTTTGAGTACTCCCTTTTTACTAGCAGAACATCTGTTTACTGATAAGGGAAAGTCAAATATTCATGTTTCTGATATGGTACTCCATAAAGATATTTTTTAGGTCTTGTCATAGTATCAACTCCAGTTTTGAAAGTTAATTTGAAAGCTTTTACTAAGACAAATCATGGGAAAATATATAAAAATAAGAATAAATAATAACTGAAGAATATATAAAATAACTGTTTTTCTTACTGTGACATTGTATCTGTAAACCCTCTCAATCTTCTGAGCTTTCCATGTTTTCCTGGAGCCCTACAGTTCTAGAAATCTGTTCTGTGGAAGGATCTGAAAGATTTTAGCCTTTACAGCACTAAATGAAGACATTGAAGATAAGAAACTTTGGCCTACCTTGCATGCCCATATTAAAAACATTCTAGTGTTGTTTTCTTGATGAACTTGTGTGCTACAGCAAGGATTAGCCAGAAAAGTACTTTTTGTTGTTGTTGTTGTTTTTGCTCACAGGTATGAATTTCATCCTTCCTTTAACAAATCTGTGCCAGTGTCATAATTTTAAAAAAACTCACAGTAGTAGGTGTATGCTTAACAGTAGGCTTAATAGAGTACTGAAATATCTGAAATAGTGTCAGGTCAAGTCTAGACATCAGAAGAGAAAGTGAGGCTGTCTCATCATCTTAAGGTAATGCCTGGGCAAAGAATTGATAAGGAAAAACTGATGAGATAGAAGCTAGGAAATGAGAATACATCTGGTGCAGAGCCAAGAACAACAGGAGATGGAATGCAGGAATTCTGAGAAGGAGATTGGTATGGGCTGAAGGAAGAACCACTTCTAGCTGGCACCGACCAAGAGAAGAGAGAATGGTTTGCAGGTGGGGCAGGTGGTAGACACATAGAACAGAAGTCAGGCTCAAAAGCTCAGACAAAAGGGAATCCAGGGAGAAATTATTACAGCCTTTCAATACTTAAAATGGGCTTAGGAGAGATTTTTTTTTGTTTGTTTTGTTTTTGTTTTTGTTTTTGTTTTTTTTTACCAGGGCTTGTAGCAGTCACATAAGGGACAACAGTTTTAAACTTAAAGCAGTGGATTTAGGTTGGACGTAAGGAAGAAGTTGTCTGTGGTGACAATGGTGAGACACTGGAACAGGTTGCCCAGAGAAGTTGTGGATGCCCTATTCCTGGAAGTGTTCAAGTTCAGGTTGGATGGGGTTTTGAGAATCTAATGTTAGTCTTCCCTGCCCCTGGCAGGAGCATTGGCCTACATGATCTTTAAAGGCCTTTTCGAGTCACAACCATTCTGTGATTCTAATTTTTGCACCGATATGGTGCCCCATCAAGGATTGTGTTATCCACATAGCAGGCTAAGTGGAGGTCTGCTGTCAGCCTGTACTCCACACGTTTTGTTTTTCCTTAAGTGCACTTGACTTTACAACTTTAATAACAATCTTTCAGCTTAGAGATTTCTATCTACCTTTGTTGAAGTGTACAAAGCTATAAACTATTTTGCATGTTTTTCCTTTTCTCATTCCTGGAATACTTCGATATCCTTCAGTACTTCAGTAATCAAAATAACACTGCTTCCTGAGGGACCACATGAACAGAGGAAAGTCTGCAAGGCCTTTATATATCTGAGTTATACAAATTGTACACAAGTAGTCTGGGAAAATTTCAGAAGAGGTCTTACACTTGTGTTGGAGACAGATAGAATTTTGAGACAAAACCAAAACAACCAGTTTTCCTTCTTCACAGCATTGATTATGAGAAATCTGTTACATCATATTTTCATAGAATAATTGTAACAATATAATGCATCTTGATTATGAGACAAGCTCCACCAATATAAAGCTGACAGATGCAGCTCCATCATTTTCTGTGCTAATTTTCCATGTAGCAACCTAAAGAGAAATTAGAAAAGGAGAAAGAAGTGATGTTGAAGGCTTGCTTTCAATTGGTTCTCCATAGTGCTGGAGTTTCTGGGTATGTTACATCAGCAACACAAGTTAAAGCTGTCCCACAAATACATTATATTGCATTCAGGCTTCATTGATTATCTGTGGCAAACCTTTGCACCATGCTGTTCTAATTCTCTTTGTGTGCTGTGGAGACTAGTCCATAAATTTTGAGTCAGAGGATCATTAGACAAAGTAATTCCCTGTGTGTAGCATAAATGATAGAGTTTCACCCAGAGATTTTTTGCATCAAACTGTTGTAAACTATGAACTAAAACCATTTTGTTTGATAGACTTTTGAGGTCCCTTGGCTTCTACATCATGCTCATACATCAGCTTTCTGCTGGTAGCACAAAGATTGATCCCATGCCCGGTGAGTGTGAATAGTGGGAATTTCTTACTTCCAACTACCTACCAATTTTCTCTCCCCAGGTATCTCTACTGTCCTGAAGGGAACAAAGAACTACCCAGCAAAAGAAGAGAGCGTGAGGTTCTAAACAAAAGGCTTGGAATTGTTCCTAATGAAGTCAACCTGCCTGTACTTCAGCAGAGGATGATTACCAAGGGTCAAGCTTTGCTCATTGAATTGCATACCAATGTGAAACAGCTTCAAGTATCATTTCCAGATTATACTCTTTAGCTTTTATGTTTACAGCATGAGCACTTTACAAGATGCATTGTGAAAAATGCTTCCAGGTTTATACATTAAGAAAAAACCACAATTCTCAATAGTACATCTTTTCTATTTTTTGAAATTTTTTTTTGAAGCTGTTGCTTAGTCAGGTTTTCTGGAACGATGGTTTGGTAGCCTTATTTATATTCATGTATGCCTTCTGTGTAAAGAAAAAGAGCTTTGTAATATGACCAGACAGAAAATATATGTAGATTCACTGTGCCAGAATTAGAAACAGATTAAGTACCATCAATATGATTTTAATATTTAGAAGGAACTTCACTTCTTATGTTTGGATAGTAGCAAATTCTAATGCTGATGTGACATGTTAATAGTCACTATTTGCAACTGGCACAGCTTCTGAAATCATTGTTATTTTAAAACCAGCTGGTTTTACTGCTATTTCTGTCTTCATATTATATGTCTGTACCCACACATTGTATAGATCTGTACATAAAATGTATCATGTACATCTCTATACATTTTGTATACGCAGTCATTTTGCTCTTTAACAGGCTTAAGTAAATTAAATACATTTTTTGCTGCTAATCAAAAGTACTTAAGGACACTTCCAGAATTTCAATTTTTATTCACTGTGTTAAATGTAGATTAAAATGTCTCACTCCAGTAGCAGAGAAGCTATGTTTTTGTCTGCAGTTTAGTAAGGAATTCTTACTAAGTGCAAAGGCTTTTCCCTACAGTTGCTACTGTGGCAACCATAACTGTTTCAAATAACCAGGATGCACTTGATGAGTATTGTTTTTGAAAATTGTCAGCTTTATGGTAATCACACAATTACTTGTAAATAATTGGATACAGATTTATGTTGTGTACATTTTTCTTTATTTTTCCCCCAGTGGTTCATTTATAAGTTTTAATAGCTAATTGGCACTCATTTCATAACAATTTAAATGTATAATTTTACCTTTGTGACTTCAATGCCCTGAATTGTGAAGCAGTGAAAAGGGGCCCAGTGGACAATGCAAAAAAAACCCAAAACAATACTAATTAAACTGATCCTCTTTTCACATACATATTATGTTGAAAGTCATCAGGCACTGCCTTTGCCTCTATACAATGGTGTGGTATTGATGATAAAGGTGTGTTAAGGGTCAAAGCATATCATTGCTAAGGTATCACCAGCAGGTAGCTGTGGATTCCACAGGTAGCTACATGCACCATGGATCACCATAGATGATGCATTTCCTGCAATGGTGCCACTCAAAATCAATTTCTATTCTAGTTCAGAGTGTTAGTTTTGCTTTGCTAGAATGAAGAAAGGGAATGCAGTATGGTTAAATCTAATGGATTATAAAGCAAATCCACACTGCACATGACTGCCAATGGAACGGATTACATGGTTATTTTATCCAAAATTCTTCATTTAAATTCAACCTTGACATGTTCTACTCAAATTGCGTATAAACTCTAATAATAATTTCCCACTGAAATAGCATATAACAATCTATACATAAAGTAGCCTATTCTAATATAATTTTTTTCAGAAATTTTTATAATTCTAAACTGCCAGTGCACGTGAATACCCTGGAAATACTTTTGCCAGTGAATACCCTAGAAATACTTTTGACTTTATTTCAAGTGTGTTTTGAAGTATCATTGTTTATATTTTCTCTGGATTTTTATAATGTTATTTTATAATTTATGGTGTTGTTTTTGTTGAGAAATAGAATATAATTAATTACTCTTACTGTGTTTTTAAATATAATTTTAGTGCTTTTAACTTTGAAGCAAATTTTGTGCTTGTTTTTGTGACTGTGAGAAGTGGGGTACTAGGTAGCAGCCAGCAGAGGAACAGACTTCTCTCCAGTGACTCCAAGAAAACTCCAAGTGGATTGGTGGCATGTGCAACCCAAGGCTTTAAGGCAGGAAATCAGTGGTCTTTTCTGTTTCTTTCCCAGTGTTCTGTAAGATTATTTTTCTCTCCCTGGTTGCAATAGAGCAGACATACTGACTGTTGTAGAAAAGAGCTGATTGATGCATTTTGCATGTAGGGCAACCAGTGGCTACAGAAGATCCATTATCTAAGCTGTTAAATAGTTTATGGCATGAATACATAGATGGTCTCCACTGATACCAGCTTCCACTCTGTTTCCCATTGTATGAAAGGTAACAAGGGCCAGTTCGGACATGAATGATTTCTGTATGGCTAAATTCTGTATGGATAACATGGGTAAAGCATATTTAGGGAAACACAGAAACCAAAACTAAATTGCTCAATATCATTCAGCAAATAATCAGCAAAGTTGAGAATGGAACTGACATCTCCTGGGTTCCAGTCCAGTTCATAAGTGGTATCCCTCATGGTGCACAGATCTTTTTTTTCTCATGTTTGACAACTTTAATGTAACTTGTGCAAAAGTCTGAGAAACAGCCATAGCTGTACTTACTATTTAGCTAATTGAAAAAGATCCTGCAAAGTGTGGTGCTAACCATGTTGAAAAACTATACTGAACTACAGGTAACTTTAGATAATTTGTGAGTTAATCTAAACTGTGACTTATGCAAGCCTTTCTTTCAGTTTTCTTGGCTGCAGTGGAGTACCTGAGATTATGTAGTGTTCTGTCTTCTATTATTCATTCACTCACTTCTACAGTCATCTGGTTACAAATACTTTCTCAGGAGAACGTACTGTGTCTGTAATTCTGTAACCTGATTTACATATGTTGTGCTCTGTCTGAATCATTTCCCAGTCTCCTTTAATATCCGTCTGAATAATCAGATGTTGACACTGGACCAAATCCTGAATTTTATTCCATAAGGAAATTCCTGTTTACAGGCACAAAATAATGTGTTTAAAGACTGTTTCTTACAGTCATTGTAACTTTGTGGGATTAGCATCTGGTTATTGGTATTTCACATTGAGAAATTTGGCTAGTTAAGGAACTTTTGGAATTACATTCATTGAAGAAGAAAAGCCAACAAATTTCCATGCTGTAAACAGGAAAGCTTCTAGCAGTGACTTCTCCAAACTGAATAATAGACACAATTTTAGCATGTATGAATTCTGCCCTACTTTTGGGAAGAACCAGCTATTCAGGAGACGTGAAAAGAGGAAGCCACTTGAGAATATTTGGGTTTGACTGTATGAATTCACCATGCACTTGAATTAAAAAACTTCTCAGCTGAAGGTTTCATCATTCAATTTGTCTAGACCGATAACAGCAATTGGAAACAAAGGTCTTCTAATTAATTTTGTTTCGTGACTTGAAGGAAGCTAAATTGTATGAATACTCTGTATTCAACTGTTCTCAACAGGAGACAGTGAGAATCATGATGAGAAAACTAGTAATTTAAAAATGTTTGACATTTGAGTGCTCACATTTCCTACCAAACTAAAACTTATTCGTATGAAAGCATTATGTCCGTAATTGAACCCATTGTCCACTGCTTTATTTTGACCTATGTTTCTAATTTCCACCAGTCAGGACATGTTCCCTGACTTGAACTGTAATTGGATTTACTCAGTTTTGCTCCAGATTTAGGCTTGCTGTAGCTTCATTACTGTCTTTTGTCTGCCTCTGTCTCTATTGGTGCAATGCAAGCAAATACAGATTGTTTTTAGTTGAGAGTTTGCTTAGCAATGGAATCTGTAGTCAGTTACAGGCCAAATCATTATAGACAATGATGACACACACATCTTTTTGTGTGTATATATATATATATCTGTGTGTATATAAGTTATATAAGTATAGATGTGATTTTTAAAAAAGTTAATATAGTTGAAATCTTAGCAATCTAATTGAAGAGTCATTATTAGTCTGGATCTCTTGCAGGAAAAAGAAAGAATTATAATGCAGTTGAATTGCTTTACAAATACTTTTTAGCTTCTCCCCATTTGGTGCAGTTATGCTCACCCTTACACTGCTCCTTAGTGTCCCAAGGTCAGTGGTTTGGTTCTGGTGGGGTTGTCAGCAGCTCTAGTCCTGTCCTAAGAAAAACAGGATGTTCATATTGATGGCTCCGTCTTCCTCACCCTAGGACCCACCATTTGGGATCATTTTTCTACATTTGCTAACACACTTTTACTCAATTGCCCTTTCTTTGTTGGTTTGCAGCTCCATGGGACATCTGGATTTATACTGTATGGTGCATTTTTCCTGTACTGGATACTGTTCCTTTGTTCTCTTAGATACCTCTAAACCCAGTTTTGTCTAGATCTGCATTTTGTTGCTGATCATGGCTGAAGCTGTTTATAGTTATCAGTGCCAAGTCTGTGCCTCATCTCTTACCATCCCATAGCTGAAGTCCTCTGTACCACATCCTATGTTTTAAGGCATGACTCTCTTAAGGACCCTGCTGTCTGACCTGGCCTGTGTCTCTTCATACTATGTCCTTATGTTAGTCTTGTAAGTATCTCAGTAAACACTGAGTAACCACTTTTTATTGTTCTCTGCATAAAACTATCCTTGTTCAAAGACAAATCAAAGTAAAACAATTAGAGGTATTGAACTGGTCAGCTGGAGGAATCACAAACACAGCTGTTCCAGTTGAAACAAAGATATATTCAGACAAAGCACAACTGACAAGCCTCAGGACATGTGAAGCCTTGCAAATTAAGCGTTTATGGCCTGTTGGTGGTAGCGGTGCTGCTGTATTCAGAGCTCTAAGACTGCAGCTTCCAAAGCTTTTAAAAATGCACTGACTCTTGTTCCTGTACCCTGTGTACCTCTTAATGCCTTCAAAAGGTACAAGTCATTAACACCATGGCAATATTCCCATGTGTCAGAAAAGATGGAAGATCTTGTTGCTGAAGTCTGGTGTCTGTGATCTGTTTGTTGTGTGATCAGCAATTCTCATTTAAAGAGGACTAATGTTTCCACGCTTGCCAAAATGGCGAGTTGCAGTTGCCAAGTGTGTGACAGTGTGGCTGAAGAGTGGCCAAACAGCTACCCTTTGGAGCAGCAAGCAGTGCCTCTGCA